CATCACATTTTGCATCTGCTATTTGGCATATTTTTCTTTCTTTTTTTCCCTTTTCCTGTTTTCTCTTGGAAACAGGAAATTTTAATCTGTAATTATTAAGGGCTGCCAACACGTTTACCAATTTTTTTGCTCATCTTTGTTTCTTTCATACTTGACCATTCTCCTGGACTCATTTTTCTGTTGAAATATATGCTGAAGTAGTTCTTTCAGTAACATTCTAAGAATGATAATCACTCATACATGGTAGTTTATCTGGGCACAGGATTTCCTCTCAACTCATAGAAGATACGTAGTCTCAATTGACGAGAATTCTCCTGTAAGTGTAACTTTATTATTTTATATGACATATACTTTTTCTGGTATATACATGTTTTTAAGGTTTTCTCTCTTTGTGATATTTCGTACTTATACAATATGGATAATAATATACATAGTGTTTGCTATGTTTCTCAATTGGAGGATTGAAACTTTGCTTATCTTCCTCTCTCTATTTTCTCTCTTTCTGGAGCTTGTAATATATATTTTATATACATATATGTATTTTATATACATATGTATCATGTTTCCTAACCTATAGTTGAAATTTTTCATATCTTTATTGCTTTCTGTCTGACTTTCTCAGACCCATTTTTCATTTCTCTAATTATCCCTTCAGATTTTTTAATGAGACATTTAACACACTGAATTTTTAGCTTCAGCTACTATTTTTTTACTTGTAGACTTCTTTGATCATCTTTTAATATGTTTGTCTTTTTCCTCACTCTCTTCTTTTTTCAGTGTGGTTTCTTTTCCTCCCTTATATCTTTAAACATTTTGAATATATTTTTAATGTAATCTCTTTCTGATTATCCTATCACTTTCAATTCTGGTCATGCTAATTCTACTGTTCCTGGTATCTGCTGACTCTCCCTTGTACTGTTGTATCTTTTCACGCAATTTGTACATTTTGTCTGAGAGTTCATCTTCAGCAGGAGTTGACTTTTAAATTTTGGGAGTTGCAAGTGCCTCAGTTCTTGCATTTACATATGAAAGGATCCTATGAATGTTAATGATGCTGGCCAATTTTTTATTATAATTTTGGGTCCCTAACAATATAGGTAAAGTTTGGACCCAACAGCCCTAAGTACAGAACTGAGAGTTTGATTTCAGATGAATAACTTCATGTTTTTCATCCAAAGCCTAGAATAGATAGCAAATTTCCCTGCTATTTTCCACAGCTGGAGAGTACAGGTGTTTTGTTTCCCTTTACATACGTGGCAGTTTCTCCAGGTGTCAGGCTGCCTACAATACCGTCATATCAGCCCCCGTGCCTTGTGCAGACCCAGGGCCAAATTACCAGTTGTTAGATACATTAAGACCTCAGAGCCCAGGGCTCAAGACCTCATTCCAAATCTGAAGTTTCAATGAGTCACTGTAGCGTAAGCTCCCACTTAGTCTGGCTCTTATTTATTTGGGGCATCTCCGTTGTTTTGTTTGGTTGGTTTGGTTTTTTGTTTGTTTGCTTGTTTTTAGCTTGGTTATTCACATTTTAAAAATCCAAAATGTAGTTAGAGGGTGCTGGCTAGTTTGACTGTAGCTGTTTGATGACTTTGCATCTTTGTAGATGCTGAACCTACTAACTAGAGGACCTGTCCCTCAATTTTATTCCACGTTTATTCCTTTCAATTTCAGCCTTCTTTCTTCTCCGTCCTCACATTTTATAACCAAACTTCACTTCCAGATGGGAAAAGCAGCCTAGAGAAACAAAGTCCAAAGTCAAACAATACTATGGAGACAATTCTGAAAACCCAGCTCTATTCATTGGGCTTTTCATTGCAATAGTTCTCAATCTGTAGAATAAGCAAAGATCACCTGAGGAGTTTATTAGAAATATAGAATTCAGGGTCCCATGCACCGAGATTCTGATTCAATAGGTCTTAAGTAGAATTCAGGAATATGAGTATCAAACAAGTACCCCAGTAGATTCCAATATCTGTGATTTAAGTTATTTAGTGACTTTATACCATAATCTAAAAGATTAAAAACATACTCCTGACATGAGTTTTTTAAACTTGTAATTTATACTTTTAAACTAAAAGCAGAGTAAAGAAAAAAATCTACTTAATTAAAGGTTTGCTTATCTTGTTTATAATAAAAGTTTTTAAAGCCTCCCATTTAATTATTTTAGACACCTATTCCTAAAAGGTGCTCTTTTATAAAACTTATTTGAAGTAAATCTTATTTTAAAATGACGCAATAAGAAATACGCATCACTACAAAGATTCTGACATTATTTGGAAACTTCCCGCCATGATAATTTTGTCTCAGGAGAAATTGGAAAATTCCATAAAATTACCTGGGTATAATTTATAGAAAGCTGAATCAAGAAACAGGTGTTACCAGTGGAATGATGAATCTTGTCCTTTTCCTCACTCACAAATTTCTAACATATGAACCTCTAGACTGTAAATCACATGCTTAAATGATTTTTACACAGACTGTAAATGACATAGATTTATGTCATTTATTTCCTTTCATTGAAAAAATAAAGAGGTAGATGATCTATACGTATCTTGCCAGCTGTTCCACAAACCACATGCATTTAATACAAGTATCAATGGAGAAGCCATTGCCTCAATGGCTCCACCTCACACCTGTCCCAGCACCTGAATGTTGGATGCTGCTCTTGAGAAGTATTTGCATCTCTATGCTATGAGCTTGGCTACAATGCTGGCTAGCATTCCATTTCCAGATGGCTCCTATTACCACCTAATTATTTTTAAACTCTGATTTTATTTCAAACAGTTTACCATTGTCAAGGATCACCTCCAAGTACAACATTGCTGAAATCAAATATTTTTGATTCTAGGTCCATGGTTAAGAGGGTTCATGAATGCCCTTTTTTAGAGTGATTGATAGACCATATTGCAAAATCCATGGCTAAACTATAAATCCAATACTAAAATTTGAATAAAACTAGAAATAATTTTTATGACAATTATTCATTCACAATTATTATTTGTTTTAAATTTCCAATTGTCCTAATAAACAAGCTAGAAAGTACCAAAGAAATCTATTCTTTCATTCCTTCATTTATTAATTCTTCTTGCACCTATTGAGGTCTTATGTACCTCAGTAAGATGAAGAAAACAGATTCCTTCTCACAAAGAATTTGCTCCCTAGTAGAAGAGAAGATAATTACAACTTATTATTAAAGTCTTGTGAAAGTATATGCAGAAAGGCAATATGATTAGATGTCAAGGGTTGAAGAAATTTCTGGGGATTTTTATCTCCTTTGCATTATTGAGCTGTTTTCCAGACTTAATACTGATTGGAGATACAAGGATTTTAAGGAAAGGAAATAAGTCTGAATTTAGACTTGGATTAAATATGCTATTTTGATCAATTCTTTTCTTGCTTGTAAGTTTTAATTCATCGTAAGTTACGGCATATTCATAGAATTAACACACTGTGCTTCTTTTAAGGATGTTGTTTACCTGGTCTTGCCCATTTTGGGCCTCTGTGTGTTGAATCTAACAATCAGAGTAAAACTAGTCCAATTACATGTATTGTCTTTGTACAATACACACATGCACATTAGCTTGAAGGAGTTTTTTTTTTTAACACAAAACTTATGAAGGCCTCAAAAGAATTTGGTGAAAATTATCAAATCCAAACTCTAGAACAAGAGCTTATATATACTTAAATGTGTGGAGAACGGGGGGAGGCGGGGTGGAGAGGTATTATGTTTACATCTGTTTTCATAAAAGTCCTGGGCCACTATTAATTCTTTCAGATTCGGGGGATTCCCTTCTTTGTATCCCATGCTGCTCTTTTCCTCGACCATTTTACTTAGGATCCCTTGCTTTAAAGATCTTCCAAAATACTCTCTTTATTTTTGTACTTGATTAAAGAACAGTCTGCTTTATGCGTCTTCATCAGTTGTTTTCTGTAGAAGGTGTTTCCCTCCAATAGAATCTGGGAAATGTCACCGTGTTAATCCCTGTATTTCTGAATCTGCCAGCTGAGCGACACTTGGGCTCTATGCCTCCTCCTCTCACCTGAGCACTCTGCCTCTCAGGACCCTCTCCTGGCTGGTCACATAAGCCTGCAGCTGTAGAAGTGAGATAAGAATATTTTAAAATGCCTTTTCACCTGGAAGAGTAGTTTTCTGGATCCCTCTGGGTACAGCATCATAATGCTACCTCTGTAAATATTAGGTATCTCTAGTGACTACGGCTCAGGGGAATTATTAATTAATCATTTCATATCAATTATCACAAGGGCTACGATATCACTTACAATTTTTATTTCCATCTGCAGGCTACCATTGGTAAAAAAAGTAACTTTTGAAATGTTATTATTTTAAAAAGTGATTTTTTTTCTATATAATCCATACACTGATCTCTCATTTAGAGTGCTGAACCCGTAAGTCTGACAATGTCAATAAACTCCTGGAGAGTATGCACCGAGTCATGCCAAATTATAGCAATCCATTCTCTACTGCGATTATAATTCACTGGCTCAAATCAAGAGCTACATATTCTATTTGTCTTAAGTATTATTATATTAGTAATTTGTTTTGTGAACTTAGAACAGTTTCTATATACATAAACGTATTCACTTAACCAATAATGATAATTTCATATATAATAATGAGCTGATCCTAAAATATTTTGAAATTTTTTAATAATCACAAGTTATCACCGATATAAGTCTCCAGTATTTATAGAAGATTCACATTCCAAATGGACATTTTATGTGGTCTTCAGGAAGAATAATTCCTTCTTTTAAGGTACTACGCTTCTTTTCAGAAAGTTAGTTTAAGGGCCTCTGCACCACAACTAAGACATCATTGAATCAGGGTTTATAGACTTGAAGTATAGCTTATCTTTACATGTTCTCCCTAAACAAATCTGAATTTTTTGCAGACGTTGTTTGATGTTCTGAAAGCAATATGCCTTCGTTGTGGATTTCCTTTGGCTAAAACAATTTCTCAATAAACAGCAGTGACTACTCACGTTTATCTTGTTCTGCTTCCACACCTTCACTTTCTGTGTCGCTTGGCAAGATCCACGGTTGATGAACTACTTGCAATTGCTTTAAAGATTCATCCTGCCAAAGAAAAAATTCATTTTGGATTAAAATCTAGACGGATATCATGAATACCAATATGAGTGAACACTTAGGTCTCCATGAATTATATGTCCAAAAACCATAATAAGAATTTCCTCACAACACAGAAGAGCGCTGAGTTTAAATTTATTTTCATGTCAGAGACATGCCACAAATTTTAAAATCATTTTCTTTACATTCTCCTTTTAATAAGATTTAATGTCTTAATAAAAAGAAATACCTATCTAGACTATGTTCCTTCCTGAATTAATATTTTTATGGAAATCTTGGCACTCGTTCTTGGAAATATAATGAAATATTTGATGTAAAATTGCGCAAAATGTGCCTCTTTGACATCGAGGGTTCAAATTCCCTTTAATGAGAACAAAGCTTAGTAGGATTTAGAGAACATTCTCAACCATACCCTTCAGTACTGCTTCACTGCCTCCTTCTTATTATTACTTCCTTATTTTTGTTAATATATTTTTCATATACTTCCTTGCTGCTCTGTGCCTTCTGCCACTGACCTAAAGCAGATTCTCATCATCTCCCATCCTGTCTATAGGAGTAGCCATCTATGAAGTTTTCTAGGATCAAGTTTCACACCCTCCCTATTTTCCCTACCAGTTCGCTGCCAAAGTGAGCTTTTTAAAATGTCGTATGATGTATTCATTACCTTGTTCGTAATCCTTGAGTGGCCTCCTCATTGTTCCCAGGATAAAATCTAAACTCAAGGTCCTTCATGATCCATACTTGTCTAGCCTGCTCTACCACCAATTCCAACCCCATCCCACCTCGACTGACACTTCTACTCCAGCTGTAATTAACTGATAGCTCCTTAATTTCATCATTCTGTCTGATCTGCCAACATGTGTTCACATATTATACTTCCTGCCTACAATGCACTACGTTTATTAATCTGTCTCAAACATTAACACTCCTCCCAAGGCTCAGGTGTCATCTCTATTGCCTTCCCTGATCCTCTAAGACAGAGTTACTTCTCTATTCCTTTATGTGCCTATTGCACTAATATCAATTACTGTGTAATAATTGTTCTTTCATATCTTCCTGCCTCAAAAATAATGTAGAAAGTCTTTGAGAACATGGATAACTTTTTTCACCTATGCGTTTCCAGCATATATTATAGTGCCTGGCAAAAAATAGGTACCAACTTAGTAAGCATTTGTGTAGGAGAAAGTAAGGAAGAAAAAGGAGAGGCTGAAGGGTACTGTAGGGGAGGAAGAAACTTTCCTCCACCCTTCTAGGTTCTTCTGACTGGTCTAAGAATTAAATTGACAAGAGATAGATTAGCAGGATAAAATCAAACAAAGTTTAATAACATTATACATGGGAGACACCCAGGAAAACTGAGTAACTCACCAAAATGGCTGAAGACACCACCTTAAATAGCATTTTCAGCTAAAAACAAAAGAGGATGTTGTGGGTAGTGGTTTGGGACTTCAAAGGGGAAGAAGGAAATTCACATGGAGATGGAAAGCAAATGGGTAAAGAAATGTTTGCTGTGCCACACAGAGACAATGAGACATGACAAGGACTCTGATCTCTGGGCCCTGCTGAGTCTCCGCCACTACATTTAGCCCACATTCTTTGTAGATATCTCTGGTTATGGCTCTGTTCCTGTTACAGGTCATTTACCTAAATTCTTTTAGGCAGTTAAGGAGGAGGTAACAAGAAAAACTTTCTGAGTCTTTTGTTTCTTAAAAATAATTGGCCTAAAATAATCCTTATGTTAAAGAGACACATTTTAGGGTGGCAAATTTTGTTCCTCATCAGTAGAAAGGAAGGAGGAAGAAAGAATGGATACCCTTTAGAAGAAAATATAAATAACAATTTAAAATTTATTGAATCATGATTTGAGAAAATCTTTTCAGACATATTTTGAAAATTAAAGGTATAAAATCAATATGACGTCTCAAGTCACTCTTTTGACCTCTCAGATTCATTCATTATCTTCCCCCTCTTTCAATGATCTTTTTCTCCAACTTGAGATATTTTGCTTTATTTTGTTCAAATACTAACAAGACAAAAATAAAGGCTCATGGGGCCAGCCCCGTAGTTTAGTGGTTAAGTGCACGCTCTCCGCTACTGGCGGCCCGGGTTCGGATCCCGGGTGCGCACTGATGCATCACTTCTCCGGCCATGCTGAGGCCACATCCCACATACAGCAACTGGAAGGATGTGCAGCTATAACATACAACTATCTACTGGGACTTTGGGGGAAAAAAAAAGGAGGAGGATTGGCAATAGATGTTGGCTCAGGTCTGGTCTTCCTCAGCAAAAAGAAGAGGATTGGCATGGATGTTAGCTCAGGGCTGATCTTCCTCACACAAAAATAAATAAATAAAAAATAAAGGCTCATGACCCCTGATCTCTAAGAAACATGACATCATCAAACATTAAATGTCCATTTTGTTTAAGATAATTCCTGTATGAGAGAAACAACCTATCTGCCATCTTTTGATTGTGATGGTTACCTCTAGATATGTTCAGTCCCAATCTAGAGCTTCAAAAAAAGCACAGTTTTCTAGGAGCTTGGGAAGAGGGTTAGGGGTTGAATAGGTGAAGCACAGGGGATACTTTAGGCAAGTGAAACTGTTCTGTATGATATCATAATGGTAAATACAAGATATTAACCACTTGTCAAAACCCATAGAACTTCACACCACAGAGTAAACCTTAATGTATGCAAATGAAAAAAATCAATTAGAAGGTTGAGGCATCCCAGGATGGAAGCAAAATACTAAAAAAGAATCTAAATTCATTAAAGGTGTGTGAAATAACCTTGCTGAAGGGGGTAGGAGAACAAGGTGCTGACCTAAGGAACTTTGAAAATAAGTAGAGTCTGTGAGATCAAAAGCAAAAGGAGGGCCGGCCCCGTGGCTTAGCGGTTAAGTGCGCACACTCCGCTACTGGCGGCCCGGGTTCGGATCCCGGGCGTGCACCAGCACACCGCTTCTCCGGCCATGCTGAGGCCGCGTCCCACATACAGCAACTAGAAGGATGTGCAACTATGACATACAACTATCTACTG